TCGGAGTTGTTAGGAGCTGACGATTGTACGTTGCTGCAAGCGAGTCTGTTAGAAACTCTAAATCATTCAAAATCTAAGCCTAAAGACTCAAGCAACTAATTTGTATTCTGGGGAGGACTACGGGAAGATGAAGCTATTGCAAAGTTTCAAATTATAATGATTTTATATTTAACATAAAATCTATCTTGAATTTGAAAACAATATTCTGATAGCAAAAATATAATTCAGCTGATGTTTCACTTTTCTAAAATTCAACTTTCCTTTCATACAACCACTTCTGTTTTTTAATATATAATGCTTACTGGTTGTTGAAATTGTTTTCTAAGTAGTTCTATTAACACATAAGTGGCTAGTAAATTTTAAAGTTTTTGTAGCAAAAATAATAAATAAAGCATTCGGTATAGAGATAGCTAATTACAGACCTACTCGCCATTGCTTTGTTGAATTTCGCTTAGTTTATATTTGAGACTGCTAATCGAATCTCATGGTTATAGTCCTTCTCCATATTGATTCGGATGAATCAAATGACGTATTCAACTCAGATTCATGACAAACAGTAAGAGGAAATGCTCAGAACTTTTTCATGGCACTTGGAAAGAACTGGAGAAGTAAAGAAACTCGACAAGTGGTCGAGTTCACGAATTCACTGATGAAACTGATGAAAACAAAACATTTCGAAATGTATTTTCCTGTCTTAATAGTTAAACACACAATTTTTTGCAGCGAATTCTGATTATCGATTGGAAGCAGATATTTTAGCAATAGTAAGCAACAGTACGCATTCATCGAGTCATTTGAAGCGCAGAACACTCCAAGAAAGGCTCTAAAGACAACTTTTCATCCAAAGACATTGCTCCGTATTATATGATGTTCTTCTGCTGGCGTTATTCACTACTTATTAACGTCACGAAATGAAACGATAAATGTAGCTGAATATTGTAAAATATGCGGCAAATGCATGACATATTGTGCTTTAAACAATTAGCACTTGTGAATTAACATAGAATCCTGTTGCTTAAGGATAGTGCTTCAGGATATTCATATGATAATGTCAATAATATAGTAAATCAGAAATTCGGAAGAAGAAATGATGTCTGATTATCTATAGTTTCCTGGCATATTCCCAATATATTGCCATTTTTTCCTGCACTATATTTATTTCCTGTCCACGAAATGCTTTAGCAGTTTTGTGAACTGGTATCACCAACCGTTAGATGATGTTTCAGGCATTCTATTATTTTAATAATTTTGACTCCTGTGCGGAGGAATTCTGCCATGGGGATTTTAAGCCTAAGATTCTGAAGGTATGAGCATTCATGCATAAATGAATAATTAGATCTATATTAGTAACGTATATAAATTATGCAAATAAATTATGTAGATAATTATATAAGTAAATTGCGTAAAATAAATAATGTTTATGTATATGTCCAGATCACTCACCATTTACGTAAGCAGCACTCATCACTGAAATTAAAGCATTAGAAAACTTCATTCCATGAAAACTTCAGCATCGCCTCGTTACAGCAAATATAATTTATAAGGCAGTGAAGGACTTAAATCACTTCATTCAATGATGTCTACAAATGCGCTAAAATGATTTACAGCACAATGGCAAGAAGACAATAATGCTGCTGTTCTTGATATTCTCTTCTTTTTTAACTATCCTTCAAATGAGTACATTTACAACTGCGTAGTAAATAATTTATGTATTAACAAAGCATTATATTAGATAAACCTTTCCAGGCATGGTGTCAGAAGTTCAGTCCGAGTTATCTCAAATCAGACATTATACCTTCACCACACATTCCATATAAATTTAGGTAAGTGAAATATAAATTACTGTATTTTGAAGTACTGAAATATTACTTTTTGCTTGTACTAATTTATGCAAGGACAAACGAGGCCCATTCAGTGACTTTCAATGAGGCATCCAGATCCTTCTGTAGTTTATTAACCCTATGGGTTTGTTAATTTATGTTCCAAAAATATAAAATTAGAAAACAAATTGAATTTCATGTAGAAGTTGTATATTTCTTTCATAATTCAGTCACTGGGCCATTGTCTTGCATTCAGGTTGGAGATCAATATTGTTAAATTAAAGTAGTTTTATGTGCATAAGTTGTAAGTTTCTATTCTATGTCAAAAAATTACAGTTAGAAAAACAGATTTCTACAAGGGTAGAAGAAACTTGAATCTTTTAATTCTATATTCTGAATTTTTTAATTCTATAGTCTGAATCTTTTAATGTTCAGATACTTAATTCTTTAAATTATGTAATGTGCTGAATTTTCATTAATTTGATCAATTATTTAACTAAGATTTGCAGTAAGCAAGAAAAGAAGATTCTATATATCTATAAACTTACATTTTAAATAGCTCATAGTAAACTGAAAACTGGAAACAAAACAAAAAAATTCTGAAATGCATTTCTTTCTAAATAATTTTAAATACAAAAAATGCTGAATTATTAATTTATTTTATAAAACTTGTTATGTAATTTGCATTAATGACTTTTTACGACGTTGAATAAATTAAGAAGGAAGAGTTCCCTCTTACCTGTATAAATTGGTTTATATATATATATATAAGTGTGTTAAACTCTACTTCGAAATTCTACATATTAAATATATGGTTTCCATTAACTAATATGTTTCAGGGAAGAAAAATTCAGTTTGGAAAAATAAATGAAAATATACTATGAAGCTATATTCGCTATAAATTCATTTAAAATATCTTTCCTGTTTCAGAGTGATTGGACCAATGTCTAATACGCCACAATTTTCCGAAGATTTCCAGTGCAAGCCAAGTTCAAAAATGGTTCGGAAGGTCACGTGCGATATTTGGTAGAAAACTCAACTGAACACCTGGCGAACTTGAGAAAGGATTTTTCTCTGTAATAGTACTATTAGTGTATGGATAATATATATCTTATGTAAAACTTCTAAAAAGTTTTACAAATTTGAGTAATATTATTTGTTCTAATAAAATGTGAAAAACCGTTTTTCATCACTTTTTTGTACATTTTAGTATTTATCTAACTTGCAAAAATTTAATTTTACTACCTCAAATCTAACTTTACATAAATGCTTTATCTTCAGCCCGAATTTCATTTATAGAGGCATCTAGGCGACTGGCGACAACGTATTTATAACACAGAAACATCAGCAAAGGTAGAAAAGGATCTTCATTTCTATCAAATTAAAATATTTTATGAACCATTTTATATAGCAGTATTAACTATACACTCATATAGGTTTCTTTAAATAAAATTATAAGGTATTTCTCTCACTTCCCTAGCGTGCCTTCGTGGTGTAACGGTAGCACGCTGGGATGGTATTCCAGAGGCCCGTGGTTCGATTCCAGGCGAAGGCGGTTGCATATTTTTCATCTTTTCTGCTTCCAATTAACCTAATGTCTCTACAAGTGGCGCCCGGACTAAAAGGGTTGGGGATGATGATTCTCCGCACCCAGGAGTTGGCGACTAGGTCCCCTAAAACTTTAGTCGCCCTTTAAAAAGTGGTGTATATAAGGTATTTCTCCCACTTCCCTAGCGTGCCTTTGTGGTGTAACGGTAGCACGCTGGGCCGGTATTCAGAGGTGCGTGGTTCGATTTCCGGCGAAGGCGGTTGCATATTTAAAATTACGTGCCACTAAATTTAAGTTAATGATCAAAATACGAAACACAGTTACGTATTAGCAATTACAAAATTACATAGTATATAGTATGAAATGAAGTTATTTTATTAAAACATTTATCGTTATTTGAATTATGATCGTTTCCAGACATTTTCATTTTAATTTTCTTCACATCAAAAAATCTTATTATACTTCTGGTAATTTGCCAGAGTAGAAGTGATATATAAACACTGGTAAACTGATTCGGATATGAAGACCCAACGGATACACTGTTTTGCATGGATACTTTTACGGTAATACCTTTAATGAATAGTCTGTCTGTTGCCACAATTAGCTGAAAACAGCAACAATAAAATAGTGCTTCAAGAAATTTTAATATTTTTCGTCACCAAAAAACGACGAATATCTTTTTCGTAGGCTTTATGTTCATCATGTACATATTATTATTTAACAATCTGTATTACTTTTTGCTTTCTTTTGACATATTTTAACATTTATTCACGGCAAATATCTCTTCACTTTATTACATTTAACTGCAGAAATATGTGTATAGTATTTGCATTTAAGTAACCATATTGGAATTATTCTGTTATTAAAATTATAAAATGAATTTAGGTCCATTACTTCAAGAATGACGAGCTAAGTTTCAAAATTATCATTATTATTATCATTATTCATCTCTGAACTTTCAGCTGTGGTTTCTGCTTTTCTTCAAGAGCTTACTAACGAAACACTTATTTTATGTATAAATCTATCTACACTGCTTTTCTGCTGCAAATATCCGTTACTGGAATCAATAGTAACAGAATGTTTAATTAGAAAATTTCTCTGCGTGGTTGTGGGCCACCAGTGGCCGAGCGGTAAAGTTGCTGAACACTCGTAGTTCGTTTCGGGTTTCGAATCCCTACGAAAACCTGGTTGCGTGGGCGTTTTTGTAGTTTCCTCTTTGTATAATATGTGTATGAGCCAGTTTCCCTTAGAAATTCCCTTATCAAGGCGTCCTTCCCTTTAAGTAGATAGACCTGGAGTGCTTGCCACAATTCAAATAAAAAAGACATAAAAATTCTGTTTCTTCATCCAGATTTCTAATGGCAATATAAAAGACTTAATTTTAATTAATTTTCAATAAACAGAACGATATAGGATTTCGTATGGATGTAAAACTTTATATTAAATTTACATTGTAATCTATCTTATGTTCACTACAAGTTATTAGGATATCGATGTCTACTATATCTTCTAGTTGACGTATTACTCGCCAGAATGCAAATTAATTTTAAGTGTACTACTTAAACTGAGGGTTTTGAATCTTTAGATGAGAAAGCTTCTGGCAATTATGTCAGCTCTGTGTAAAAGTAATATTCCGGCTTTGGCATTCCCGTTTGCCTAAGCTTTAAATTGTATGTCGTTACAATATATTGAGCCAGCCTATTTCTTATTCTGTTGAATGTATAGTCTAAGAGTACGTTAGCAGCGTTTAAATTTAATTATCTGTTGTCTAATTTAAGCAGTCGCAAATAGTAATTTTATCTGTAGCGCAAGTTGTGTATTTTATATTCAAGTTAAATTAAACTAAAAAATTATTTTAAACCTTCTTTAGTACTTTATGAATATTTAAGACGTAGCGATTACTCGTGATCATGTGTAGCTGCGTCTGTGGGACTTAACATTAATTTTCAGTTACAAGAGAAGCCCTGTAACATGGTTCCGCATTCTTGCACTCTGATTATTATCAGTATTATAACTCAGAGATTTCGGTCAACCATAATATACTAACATACCAAAAAAATTACAATAATGACAATAATACTTTAACCAGTAAATGATCAGTTCACTGAAATCAATACATAAGTTAAACTTGACTGAATTCTACAATTGTTTAGTCTTCAAGAAACAATATAATTACCTCCCTTATATTAATATTGCAAGCTCACTAATCGTTTTGATATTTCCACTAAAATTTCTCAAGCTTTTATTTAGATAAGTCCGCATTTGGGAAAGGAGATACTGACAGAAGTAAACCAAATACGTAAATTAAGATACATGCATAATTTATTTTAGGTTTTAAATTTTGGACAAGCAGAAACACTTACATATTTACATATTTAGTGATCATTTCTAATACTTTGTTAACACTTCTTGCCTAAATATTGCATGGATCAAATTCCCATAAATGTTTAAATCGTTTCCTCTTAAATTCTGGCAATCCAGAAACTCACAGCTCCTGCACATTTAATCACTTCAGATTTATATCTCATTGCAGATATATTTTGCATTTTATTTCTGTATAGAGCTAAAATAGAATGATATAACTTACTAAATATTAAATTTTGAAACATATAATTTTAAAGTCAGCTAAAAGTGAATTAACTTTTTCAAATCAAGTTTATTTTCATAAGAACACGTTTTTGAAGACAAACGTCCTATTTTCGAAAGAAAATAGAAAATTAAAACTGAACTTAAGTCTACATTTAACTGTCAAGAATGTCCAAGCTGGTCAACACGCTGAAAGATCGACAAAATCAAGGAACACCTGTTATCATTGTTATCAATATTTTGTGTATTTTTAACTTTCGAGCTGATTAATGCCAGATGAAATATTGCAACTATTAAAGTCTGTGAATTTTTATAATTGCTTGAGGAGCCCATAAGGTTGAAATTTACAGCTTATATCCGATTTCAAATCTTACCAAATGAAGAAATGAAGACTTACAAGGCTTCCATCATGCATCAGGTAGAAGCGAATAGAGATCCCACAAGGATCAACTGACATTCAAAAAATGTAGATGGCACTAAGAAATCACAATTTCTCACAGATTTCAGTCTTCAGTAAGTTTTATTATTATAATCATAAATGCAATATTTTATCATTGAATGAAAATATCTGTATAGTAAAACAATTCACTTACCAATAACTTTTTCAAGCTAACAGAAATAACCTGGAACTTAAGAATGGAATACAATCATCATCCCAGCACCACAATATTTTTTTCATTCAAATGTAAAATCAAGCATTTTGGTTTCAAGTTGCTTTTACATGCGTTTGCTCTCCTTGTTAGCAATGCTACAATATTCAGTTTCGCTAAATTCTTAAGATCCGAAAAGTAGCTGAAAATTTCATGTCATAAGTAGAAATGTGTCATGCTTTATTTAGACTTAAAAGGTGCCAATCGCATGGCTCATGTCTTCTAAAACAAAGTATTGAAAGTTGTTCAATATAGTAGCGAAATGAACATTCCACCAAACAGATCACTCCTCCATTTTCGAATGTTGATGTTCGCTATAGCAGAAGAAATAAGGTGACTTCTGCAATAACAGACTAATGAAGAGCCTAGCAAACATTATAAAAAATACATCTTATTTCATCTTCTTTATTCTCTGGAAAATCTTGTTCTAAAGTTTTGCAAGCTAAATATTAATCCTCTCCTTCCTCTGTCACTCATGTAAACACACTGGTTTCCAGAAGCTAAGCAACAAATGGAAAACTGATGGTAAATCAAAAAGTATGCAAGCATTATAGGAGAAACGTATTGATAATATTTATTACACCACTTAAAAATAAAAACAAAACATATTATACAGAATATTTACATTTTGAGATATCAAGAGGAATACAGAATCTCCTAAATTCGGGCATATTTAGTAGTGAGTATGATCAGACCGAACAGTAGTACAGACTTAATAGTTATGCCTCATGCCTTATGGATATTATCAATAAGTTGTATGAGTAGCGATGCTCATGACGTATCATTCATCACAATGACTATTAACCAAAATCTGTCGCCGATGGAGGTAAGCAGGACACACAGTGCTGGTCGCCTAGCATATAGGCCGCATTTATGCAGTCTTTTGTGTTGTTTCGTGGCTGATACTGTACTTCCTGTAGCATAAACAAGAACGGATCTAAGCTGAAATAGAGTTGCAATCTTACACTGCCATGCACTAAGTCTAAAATACCAGTCATCTACAAGCTACAGGGGACGTGGGCGCTGTTCCTTTACCACGAAAGTTAATCAGTACAACACCACGTCCACCATTGTCAAGAGCCGTGTGAGAGCTGTGGTCACACGAGAATCTCGCAGAAGGCGCCAAGGGCCAACGTCTGATTCAGAGCACCCAAAGGGTTAATAATATTATTCTGATAATATTGCTTATGAAACTTCTATTAGAATATTACACACATAAAAGTAACTAATACCTAATGTACAGTAGAAGATAACATGAGAATATACATAAATACAACTAATACCTATCATACAGATGATGCAGAGAATTAGAACTTTATAAAATGGGGGTATCATTGCATATTGCATTTGTATACAAGAATTTGTTATAAAACATTGAATTAACTTGTAGCGGTATTCATTATGCAGT